CCTGCACACTCATTCTTGCGCACATTGTATCAGGGATCTGTTCTTGGGGAGGGAAAGCAAAACGCCCAGGGTGTACACGGCCTTGACCCGCAGTAATTCGGTGCTCAAACTACTGCTGGAAGACACCGTTACCCACCTTTGAACACATGAAGCCTCCTTATACTGAGTCAGGCCCTGGGTCCATTAAGGTCAGTATTGTCTACTCAGACTGGCAGCAGCTGTCCAGGGTCTCAGGGTGAGATCTTTCACATCACCTGTTTTTTGTTGTAGTCCAGTCGCACAGTCGAGTCTGACTCTTTGACCCCATGGACCACATCACGCCAGGCCCTCCTGTCTTCTGTTGTGCTCCGGAGTTTGCTTAATTTCATGTTCGTTGCATCTATGACACTGTCTAACCATCTCGTCCTTTGCCATCCCCGTCTTCTTTTTCCTTCAGTCTTTCCCAGCATCAGGGTCTTCCCCAGTGAGGGCTCCCGCTGGCCTGGAGGAATCACATCACCTGCTACCCGGCCCTTTTAACTGGAGATGTCGGGATGGAATTTGACAGTTTCCTGCATGCAAAGCGCACGCTCTACCACTACAGCCTCAGCCCCTTCCTCATTCTCCCCCCCTCCCCAGCTCTCCTGTGTCTTGATGAGCTACCTAATGGACATATCGGTTTTCTGCTCATGCCCATTTTCCCCTACCAGCGAGACAAAACTGCACCTGTTGAGTTTCTACCTGTGCCGCATCAAGCCATGTGCCATATACTGGGGCCAGGGGCAGAGGCTTTGCAGCCATAGTATATATTTGCAAGAAACCCTAAGCTGGCAGACAAACTAAGTGGTTCACTGAGTGTACTGAATTTACTGGCTCCCTGAGAGCCAGTTTGGTGCAGTGGCTAAGTGCGCGGACTCTAATCTGGGAGAACCGGGTTCGATTCCCCACTCCTCCACTCACAGCTGCTGGATGACCTTGGGCAAGCCATAGTTCTGATAAGAGCTGTTCTTGAAAAAGAGCAGTTTGTGTCAGAGCTCTCTCAGCCCCACCTACCTCACCGGGTGTTTGTTGTGGGGAGGGGGAGGGAAAGGAGTTTGTGAGCCGCTCTGAGATTCCTTTGGGTAGTGAAGAGCAGGGTATAAATCCAATCTCTTCTTCTTCTCCAGGGGAGGTCACTCTATATTGTCTGTAAGCTACATTTGGCTTAGTTTGGTGGGGGACAGAAGCGTGTCTGGTCGATGTGAAAGACACAGAACTTCTATCCCCCCCCCACTGGAAAGCCAACCAGAAAACAAACAAAACGCTATGCCACACCCTAGCTTACTGGGGTTCCCTCCGGGAGGGTGGGCGGGGCTCCAGGGCATGATTTCTTCACAGAGATAGAGTGCAGGGCCTCAGAACAGTGACGGACATGGGGGGGTTACACTTCACTAGAGGAGTTTGTAGTGATGTCCTCAGTCATAAAGAGCTTTACAGGGTGATTAGACAGATTCATGGAGGATCGGACCGTCAGTCGCCACTAGCCATGGTGACTACAGGGAACCTCCATGTTCAGAGGCAGGAAGAGGAAGAGGAGGAAGAGGAGGAGGAGATTGGATTTATACCCCGCCCTTCACTACCCAAGGGAGTCTCAGAGCGCCTTACAAACTCCTTTCCCTTCCGCTCCCCACAACAGGCACCCTGTGAGGTATGGAGAAGAATGGAGACGAATGAATGAAGAAGAAGCCACGGAAAGGCAGCAAATGGAAAACAACATGAGGAAGCTCGGAGGAAAAAAACTGCAATTTGGCACCCCACCCATTGGAAAATCACTACTGAGGATCCAGATCAACAAGATAGCCAGGAGAGCAAGTTTTGAGTCCAGCCGCACTTTAAAGACCAACAAAAATTCCCGGGTATAAGCTTTCCAGACTCAAAGCTTCCTTTGTATCTGATGCAGGAAACTGTGACGCCCAAATGCTTATACCCTGGAAAACTTGTTGGTCTACTGGATTCGAATCCTGCTCTTCTACTGGAGACCAACGCGGCTACCCACTTGAAGATGACCAGGGTTCACTTACTCTTTTTAAAAAGCACCGACCAAGAAGTTCCGGATTTTCAATGCAATTTTCCAGCTCTTTGAGGAAGATCCTGAAATAAAGGCATAAAGAAAGATTTTAGAAGGGAGAAGGTGTCTTTCAGTCAGGTCCTCATATTGATTTCAGAGCAGAGGCGCTCAAGAAATATCAGAAGAAGTCAGTTTATGTAGCTTAAAACTCACGATATCACACTAAGGAACAGGGGAGCAGAGGTGTGGTTCTTTCATCCACTCCCCTACAGAACCTGAAACGTGGAGCCGACAAACTTCACTGAACGCCATGCAACTCTATGACAAATTATTTCCAAACAGCTGTGGCCCTATCTTTCAGTACCCCACTGGAATTCTCCAGAACTGCTTCTCTCTATATGCCCATTCATGGGATGCTCTGGTTGGTACTTTGATTGCCCTTGCTGTTTATGTGGAGGGTCCCTTTAGTCACCATGGCTAGTGGCCACTGACAGACCTATCCTCCATGAGGTGCCCTCTGTCTAATCCCCTTTTAATAAGTGGGTGACAACCCACATCCACCAACCAGCCTGAAAGCCATGCCCCTCTTCTGCATGCGAATCACCCAGCAAGGGATGAACACTTTGGCCAGGGACTTGGTTTAGGGTTGTAGGCAGCAGCCTGCAGTTCAGCGTCTTAACCCATTCATGGGATGCTCTGGGTGCTACTTTGATTGCCCTTGCTGTTTACAGCAGGAACTCATTAGCATAATAGGCCACACCCAACAGCAGAAACTCATTAGGACTGGTTACATTAGGGGTGTGTGGCCTAACATGCAAAGGAGGTCCTGCTATAAAAAAGCCCTGGGTTTGGACCACAAACAAGGTAAACAGAATAAGAAGTAAAAGGTGAGTGTGTCTGGATGACCACAATTCTGCAAACATGGGGTGTGTAGCTTAATATGCTAATGAGCTGTGCTGTGTCCTAATAAGCAAATGAATTTCTGCTGTTGGGTGTGGCCTATTATGCTAATGAGTTCCTGCTGGGCTTTTTCTACAAAAAAAGCCCTGGTTGTAGGCAAGGAACCCTGGCATGTGGGCTGATGCTTGAAGACCTTTGTTTGCAGACAGTGGTCAGACTCATGAAGACAAAGGAGACCACAGGTGGAGGGCTCAGATATTCACACGATATCCTGCAGCACAGCATCCCAAAGAAAGGCTTGGTGAGAGCCACAGTGGTTCTCCAAGCCAAGATACCTTCTGGACACCACCATATAACACCCCAGTACTGTATGAAGGTAGATCACTTGCCTTCAGCACGAATAGGATAATGATTGGCTATCTCTGTCCGCATGGTAGATTTCCCCTCCCACATTCCGTTTTCACATCTCTATCCCACGCTGCCACACACCCCCTTATTCTTACAACCACTCTATGGGATAGTGTAGATTAAGTTATAGTTACTGGCCCAGGATCACGCCTTCTCCATTAAATGTATAACTGCACATCAATGGGCCCCTTGCCCGGCTCGCACCTCCCAGCATTTCACCCCCCCACAATGCCCCTCCCCTCTCATAGCACCCGTACCTGTTGTGAAATTCATAGATTTCCGAGAGGTTCCCAAAAAGAACTTCCTTCTTGTTGGCGAGAGCAGTCGGGATCAGGTGAATTAAATCAGGATTGTCCATCTCTGACGCGTAGCCCTAATTTTGTCAGCGGAGGATAGGAGTGAGGAGAAGGGAAAGGGGAGGGGGGGACATAAAGTCATGTTCTGTCAGTTTCAAAAAAAAAGGAAAGAGGGTAAGAAATGCGCACCCGCGGCCTCCAAAATAGCTCTATAATGGCTTTGAATGCACACTTTGGTGTAGTGGTTAAGAGTGGCGGACTCTAATCTGGGAGAAGAGGAGGAGATTGGATTTATACCCCGCCCTCCACTACCCAAAGGTGTCTCAGAGCAGCTTACAAACTCCTTTCCCTTCCCCTCCCCACAACAGACACCCTGTGAGGTAGGTGGAGGCTGAGAGAGCTCTTGACAGAAACTGCTCTTGTTCAAGAACAGCTCTTATCAGAACTACGGCTTGCCCAAGGTCATCCAACCAGGTGCAAGTGGAGGAGTGGTTCCCAGATTAGAGTCCACGCACTTAACCGCTACACCAAACTGGCTCTCTCCCCACTCCTCCACATGCAGATGCTGGTGGGACCTTAGGTCAGTCCCAAGTTCTTTCAGAGCTGTTCTCTCAAGGGCAGTCCTCGAGAGAGCTCTCTCAGCCCCACCTGCCTCACAAGGGAGGGGGAGGGAAAGGAGACTGGAAACCACTCTGAAACTCCTTCAGGTAGTGAAGGGCTGGGTATAAATCCAATCTCTTCTTCCTCTTCCTCTCTGTGGTAGGGTTGTCAGCTCAGTGCTGGCACCAGGAGGGAGCTTGGGGGTGGGGGTGGGGGAGTAGGAACATGTTAGTTGGAATTCCTCCAGTGCCACAAAATCACTTCTGCTGCAAACCCAGAAATGATGTCATTTCACTGGGGTGATGTTCTAGGATTCCAACAATAGTTCTATGGTTTTACCCAGACCCAACTCTTTGGAAAAGCAAATATCTAGTTTGGATCTTAGAAACTGAAACAAAACAATGTCTTTTCCCCAAAGCAAAGACCCAGTCCCAGCTTCCCCACGCCTTGTCAGTGCACCTATTCAGTAGCAGCTTCCTCCGTCATAGGAGGATGTTTCCCAGCCTCCATGAGGTGCATATACATATTGATGGCACATTGTCCCTGACAAGGCAATTTTACTTGCACTCTTAGGACCGAAACTGGAAGGTACATATTAGTTCCAGGATATACAACTACTTCTGACACAAGGCCAGATATATTTGTGGCCCCAAATAGAAACTTTTTGGTGTGTCATTCAGTTCCATATTGGAACATTCCAATTTTGGTCCTATTTTATTTATTGTTCATTGCCTTACGTGTGTTACAGGGACTCTGTTGCTTGTTGTATTTTGCACTATTTGACCTCTGAAGAAGGCTCTTGTGAGCCGAAACGCATCAGGCCATACACTGTCTTTATTTGTGTGTATTTGTGTGTATTTTTATGAGGCTTTATTTGGGCCCCTACTAGGTTTTTAGAAGTCTTTGTAATAAACACTCTTTTGTATACTTAGTAAAGGTAAAGGTTCCCTTGCTCAAAAGCCAGTCCAATCCGACTCTAGGGTTGCGGTGCTCATCTCCGTTTCAAAGCCGAAGAGCCAGCGCTGTCCGAAGACGTTTCCGTGGTCAAGTGGCCGGCATGACTAAACACCAAGGCGCACGGAACGCTGTTACCTTCCCACTGAAGTGGTCCCTATTTATCTACTTGCAATTTCTTGCTTTCAAACTGCTAGGTTGGCAGGACCTGGAACTAGAGACATGAGCTCACTCCGTCATGTGGCAACTCAGGTCTCGAACTGCTGAACTACCAACCTTCCACAGCCTGCAGTTCAGCGTCTTAACCACTTGAGCCACCGCAGCTCCTTTTGTATACTTACTTATGTTTTTAACCTTTGGCCCTCAATAAGTTTTCTAAACTTCCTTTGGAGGTTGGTGCATATAACAACACAGTCAAAAACTGCAACACTGTACCCAAGAATACTTGACGCTTGATTCAAAACATTCTTATATTAACAGTGTAGTACTCTAAATAACCATTCAGATCCATTCCGAAGACACCAATGTAAATAGTCCAATACAGCTGCATAATTGGAGGTGCTTTTAGGGAGGTACCGCCAGATACCATATGTAGACAGACTTTGTCCTTCTTCTCTAAAAGATATAGAATCCGCTACACACACCATACGTCATTTGTCCCTTTTATAGGGATATTCCATCTCGTTTTATTACTCCACTTTTAGATGGTAAGAGCTGGCATTCTGATGACTCAGTCATTCACTTTCTTCTGTTTAATTCTAATTGTGAAACAACGGAGGCTGTTGCAAAAATTTTCCATTATGCAATCAGAAGACGAGGTTTGAATAGCCAAGTGTAAGCGACTGGTGTTTCTTAGCATTTTGCTGTATTCCCATAATGTTTTGTGCTTTCAATGCCAATAAAGGTTTGTGTGCGTGTGTTAGGATTGCCAAGTCCTTACCTGTTGCAGAGCGGGGGAGTCCAGTCTCGTTCTGGGAGTCTATGCGCGCACACAAAGCGTGCACGCACGCACTGCAATCACGTCACCCGGAAGTGACACAATCACGTCGGGCACGTTGGGGGCGGGGCCACAATCATCTGAGGGAAAACCATAGAGTTTTCC